CATGGAAAGGGATGGAAGCACCAACTCTATGACATTGTCTTTGCTATCCCAGTCTGTGTAGGAGCCCCTGCCATGGTACATGTTGGGTATGGGCAGGTGAGACAGGACAGGAAAGGGCAGGGCTTGTGAGGGGGAGCTACTCTGTGTGACTGCCCCCCTTGGTTTTCCCCATTATAATGTAGTATTGACACAGCTTGGATTATCTTATGTGGTGAACAGCTCTGCAGTGTGAATCCCCCATTGTTCGGGGACAACAGTAATTGGGAACTATGTGGAAGCACAGTCCCTGAAGAAAGTGCCTTAAGGATCAAACTCTGTGTATCCATTTATGTAGAAAGCCAAGTCATTTTAGTTGATATATTACATTTTAATGCATTACTTAAAATATGGTTCATGTTCTAAAATTAAACAGCCTGGGGTTATCATAAAATAGGAGATAAAATATTCATTTCTTTATAATTACAGAGCGTATGGATTAAATATAAAAGGTTGAAACCTAGTAGTGCTGGATTTGGAAAGAAGTTGTATTATAAGGATAGAAGTGACCATATGAATAGTTTCAAAATTAATAATGTGCTCTAGAGTAGAGTATATAAAGTGCTCCCTCTGATTTTAATACATGTGTTGTGTATTCAACTTTTTTCTTTTTAACAAATAAACTAGCAAAGTCCTTTAACTGAGTGATAGCATCACCTTAAAGGAAAATTCCTTGTGACATGGACATTGGAGTTAACACAATTCAAATATACATTTAAAATATGGCAATTTTACAAAAATATTACAACAGATGTCCAGGGAGCAAATGCTGTACAAAACCAAAAAGAAAAAGGATTCAGAGTAACAGCTGTGTTAGTCTGTATTCGCAAAAAGAAAAGGAGTACTTGTGGCACATTAGAGAATAACCAAGTTATTTGAGCATAAGCTTTCGTGAGCTACAGCTCACTTCATCGGATGCATACTGTGGAAAGTATAGAAGATTTTTATACACACAAAGCATGAAAAAAAATGGGTGTTTACCACTACAAAGTGTTCTCCCCCCACCCTACTCTCCTGCTGGTAATAGCTTATCTAAAGTGATCACTCTCCTTACAATGTGTATGATCATCAAGGTGGGCCATTTCCAGCACAAATCCAGGGTTTAACAAGAACGTCTTGGGGGGGGGGGGGGGTAGGAAAAAACAAGGGGAAATAGGCTTGAATAGAGATTGGGAGTGGCTAAGTCATTATGCAAGGTAACTTAAGTTAATTGTATCCAATTTGCAAATGAATTCCAATTCAGTCTCTCGCTGGAGTCTGGTTTTGAAGTTTTTTTGTTGTAATATCGCAACTTTCAATCTCTCTGGTCACACGATTATTACAGACATGAAGTGTTCGACTGGTTTATGAATGTTATAATTCTTGACATCTGATTTGTGTCCATTTATTCTTTTATGTAGAGACTGTCCAGTTTGACCAATGTACATGGCAGAGGGGCATTGCTGGCACATGATGGCATATATCACATTGGTGGATGTGCAGGTGAACGAGCCTCTGATCGTGTGGCTGATGTTATTAGGCCCTGTGATCGTGTCCCGTGAATAGATATGTGGGCACAGTTGGGAACGGGCTTTGTTGCAAGGATAGGTTCCTGGGTTAGTGGTTCTGTTGTGTGGTATGTGGCTGCTGGTGAGTATTTGCTTCAGGTTGGGGGGCTGTCTGTAGGCAAGGACTGGCCTGCCTCCCAAGATTTGAGAGAGTGTTGGGTCATCCTTCAGGATAGGTTGTAGATCCTTAATAATGCATTGGAGGGGTTTTAGTTGGGGGCTGAAGGTGACGGCTAGTGGCGTTCTGTTATTTTCTGTGTTAGGCCTGTCCTGTAGTAGGTGACTTCTGGGAACTTTTCTGGCTCTATCAATCTGTTTCTTCACTTCCGCAGGTGGGTACTGTAGTTGTAAGAATGCTTGATAGAGCTCTTGTAGGTGTTTGTCTCTGTCTGAGGGGTTGGAGCAAATGCGGTTGTATTGCAGAGCTTGGCTGTAGACAATGGATTGTGTGGTGGGGTCAGGGTGAAAGCTGGAGGCATGCAGGTAGGAATAGCAGTCAGTAGGTTTCCGGTATAGGGTGGTGTTTATGTGAGCATTGTTTATTACCACTGTAGTGTCCAGGAAGTGGATCTCTTGTGTGGACAGGCTGAGGTTGATGGTGGGATGGAAATTGTTGAAATCATGGTGGAATTCCTCAAGGGCTTCTTTTCCATGGGTCCAAATGATGAAGATGTCATCAATATAGCGCAAGTAGAGTAGGGGCATTAGGGGACGAGAGCTGAGGAAGCATTGTTCTAAGTCAGCCATAAAAATCTTGGTATACTGTGGGCCATGCAGGTACCCATAGCAGTGCTGCTGATTTGAAGGTATACATTGTCCCCAAATGTAAAATAGTTATGGGTAAGGACAAAGTCAAAGTTCAGCCACCAGGTTAGCCGTGACATTATCGGGGATAGTGTTCTTGATGGCTTGTAGTCCATCTTTGTGTGGACTGTTGGTGTAGAGGGCTTCTACATCCATAGTGGCCAGGATGGTGTTATCAGGAAGATCACTGATGGATTGTAGTTTCCTCAGAAAGTCAGTGGTGTCTCGAAGGTAGCTGGGAGCACTGGTAGCGTAGGACCTGAGGAGGGAGTCTACATAGCCAGACAATCCTGCTGTCAGGGTGCCAATGCCTGAGATGATGGGGTGCCCAGGATTTCCAGGTTTATGGATCTTGGGTAGTAGATAGAATACCCCAGGTCGGGGTTCCAGGGGTGTGTCTGTGCGGATTTGATCTTGTGCTTTTTCAGGGAGTTTCTTGAGCAAGTGCTGTAGTTTCTTTTGGTAACTCTCAGTGGGATCAGAGGGTAATGGCTTGTAGAAAGAGGTGTTGGAGAGCTGCCAAGCAGCCTCTGGTTCATATTCCGACCTATCCATGATGACAACAGCACCTCCTTTGTCAGCCTTTTTGATTATGTCGTCAGAGTTGTTTCTGAGGCTGTGGATGGCATTGTGTTCTGCACGGCTGAGGTTGTGGGGCAAGTGATGCTGCTTTTCCACAATTTCAGCCTGTGCACGTCGGCGGAAGCACTCTATGTAGAAGTCCAGTCTGCTGTCTCGACCTTCAGGAGGAGTCCACCTAAAATCCTTCTTTTTGTAGTGTTGGTAGGGAGGTTTCTGTGGATTAGTATGTTGTTCAGAGATGTGTTGGAAATATTCCTTGAGTCGGAGACGTTGAAAATAGGATTCTAGGTCACCACAGAACTGTATCATGTTTGTGGGGGTGGAGGGGCAGAAGGAGAGGCCCCGAGATAGCCCAGCAGAAGCAGCTGTCCTAAGGGTATAGTTGGATAGGTTAACAATATTGCTGGGTGGGCTGAGGGAACCATTGCTGTGGTCCCTTGTGGCATGTAGTAGTTTAGAAAGTGTAGTGACCTTTTTCTTTTGTAGAGAAGCAAAGTGTGTGTTGTAAATGGCTTGTCTAGTTTTAGTAAAGTCCAGCCACGAGGAAGTTTGTGTGGAAGGTTGTTTTTTTATGAGAGTATCCATTTTTGAGATCTCATTCTTTATCTTTCCCTGTTTGCTGTAGAGGATGTTGATCAGGTGGTTCCGCCAAACACATTCTAGGTCGATCTGCTGTTAGGATGACCAGATAGCAAGTGTAAAAAAATCGGGACAGGAAGTGTGTGTGTGGGGGGGGGGTAAGAGGTACCTATATAAGAAAAAGCCCTCCAAAACAGGACTATAAAAATCAGGGCGTCTGGTAACCCTATCTGTTGTAGTTGCAAAGAGTCCTGTGGCACCTTATAGACTAACAGACGTAAGGGAGCATAAGCTTTTGTGGGTGAATACCCACTTCGGTGGTTGCATGTAGTGGAAATTTCCAGAGGCAGGTATAAATATGCAAGCAAGAATCAGGCTAGGGATAACGAGGTTAGTTCAATCAGGGAGGATGAGGCCCTCTTCTAGCAGAAGAGGTATGAACACCAAGGGAGGAGAAACTGCTTTTGTAGTTGGCTAGCCATTCAGTCTTTGTTTAATCCTGAGCTGATAGTGTGAAATTTGCAATGAACTGAAGCTCTGCAGTTTCTCTTTGAAGTCTGGTCCTGAAGTTTTTTGCTGCAGGATGGCTACCTTTAAATCTGCTATTGTGTGTCCAGGGAGGTTGAAGTGTTCTACAGGTTTTTGTATATTGCCTATCTGCTGTGTTATTCCACATATGTTTTTGAGGCCATAAACAGGCCAGTAATCTGTGCCAAGTGACAGTGTCACACCTTCCTGATAGACCTCTGCACCTGTTTATCAGGCATCTTAGAGATCTAGATTATGGTCAGAATGTGCAGCTGCGAGCTACAATGGTCAGACAATGTTATGAAAGAACATAGGAACTGCTCACCTTTAAACTAGGGACAGCTTGGTTGTAGCTATGATTTACTAGCAAACACTGTGGCTCTGAGGTTCACAGAGCTGTTGGCCTTTGGAATGTAGGTTTCTGATCTCTAGGTGACTGTAAAAAAATTATAACATGATGTTAAATTGGAAAAGATAATATTAGAAACCAATTCAGATACCACTTATAATGGAGGTTATAACAGCACCTACAGTTATAGACAAAGACAACAAATCAAAACACATGTAAATATAACCCCAATTCTAACTCCTGCAGTGGTCATAAAAGAAAGGGATAAACTCAGAGGAGCATAAAGAAACATTCTGTAATTTCCCATTTATGTCCTACTCTGCAGCTGCATATTTTTTCCAAATCTCTCTGGGACAGATTAACACTTTGCTACAACAAACAAATAGAGATGGTAACAAGTCTTAAAGTCACATTCCTAAATGAAAACAGATTCCCTCCCTTTCTCAGCAAATGATCAGGGATCAGATTCTGTTGTACCTTTGCAATGTTGGTGCAATTGTATGTTCACATTGGAGGTGCCTGGGATGGTTATCACTCAGTGCCTTTGAGATATTTTATTCTTTTTTCTCCTTTAGTAACTGGTGTCAAAGCTGCTGGGTCAATTTTGTATCCTCCATTTCAGAGGAGATGACTTGAGCCCTCCGGTGAGGTCCAGGTAAGTGCTCACCTATTACTGTATGATTATTTTAGTGGGGACTTTACCTACAGTAGATCTTTCTCATTGTATTATTATTACTTTATTCTTTTTTCAGAACCCAAAAGTATGCTAGGTTTTTATAGAACAGACAGATATGGTCCCTCTCCCAAGGGGGCCTTCGTTTGTAAGATATCTTGTCTTCAGTGAGGTTCTGAATGGGCGCAAGGTCCCACACTAGCAGATCCAGTTACAGGATAATGGCCTCACTTTAAACATGGTGCAATCAGTTAGGGATTGGGATAGGATGAGGAGGGTCAAAAGATAGAGCAATATGGTTACTCAGTTTAACCATCTTAGTGGTTCAATCAAGTGGGTTTTTTTAATGGTCTCAGTTCTTCTTGCGATCAGGTATCCAGCCAATTGCATTCATGCAGCCTCTGTTCACTTCAGTAAGCGTTACATGTCTGCAAATAATGGGATGGTCAAGCCTCTAATGATTTATTATACCTTTGCATGAGTTTAATTTTTTTAATTAAAAAAATTCAGTTTAAAGAAAGAAGTTTAAAAAGTTTTTAAAAAGGAGTAATAGACCTACTGAACTCTGGATCAGTGTCAACTGAGTTAAGCAGGCACAGCAACTAGATTGATTGTAGTGGAACAATCTGCTTATGCTACCAGTAATTTTTATCCTCTCTATATTTTGTACATTAGCACAATGCTCTTAATACTACCACCAATTGGAGTAAGCTACAGGGAAACTTCTCAGGAGGCTGCTGCTGCAGAGTATCTTCTCGTGTACTAAATAAAGTTTTGTTCCTCCTTTTTTGGAATATTATCTCCATCAGGCAACCGATTTTTGTTCCCTAGAGTGGTCGCTTAATACAGATCTCGCTGTATTTGCTTTGGGCGTTTTAACTAATAGTTGCTATTTTGTGAGCTAACGCTAAACATCTCACAAACTATCAGGTTAAATTATCTTTGAAAAAAAGAGATGGAAGTTTTCTATGTAAGCATGAAAATACATAAAAACTTTTAAAGTGTGTATAATATGAAGACAAGTGATCTATTATGTGTGCTTTCAAAATGTTTCAATGCAAGTGGTACAAAAGTTTGGGAAATCTTCTGTGTGTTTGTAGAACTGGGTGGTATTAATCACACCTCATTTGCCTCTCTCCTTTTCTGCTCTTATTATTTACTCCTTTAGAAGTATTGTTTGGAGCTCCCTCCTTTTAAAGCTTTTATCTGAGCTGGTTGTCATACCTATGCAAAGCAAAAGCACACAGCCCCATGAGCAACTTGGGGTTAGACTGTGATTCAATATTTAAAGTAAGGGTTGTGGGGTAGGGGTTGCATTTCAAGCTTCAGACAGACCCAGTGAATGTCAGCTGTATACATTTTCCATACTTCTGATGGGGTCTTGCAAACATCATTTCCCACAATAGTTAAAGGATGAAATACTTACAGGCATCACAGGAGTTGGACATCTCAGTATAGCCATGCAGCTTTAAGAAAGCAACTCTGCAAATTTTTTTCCATGGGGAATCATACAGTCTTCATGCTTTTCCATGTGGAGGTCAAAAGCATTTCCAATGAGGACAGTTCTGACTATTTTCACATGATACAGTTTAGAATGCAGGCGCTTGTTTGATGAATTCATATCAGATAGTTACTTGGGTTACTTAGTTAAATTGGGTTACTTAAAATGCAGAATAATTAAAATATCAGATGTAGCCCCTTTCAAAGCCTGCTGTTGGCTTCTTTTTTTTGATCTGTCTTGAATTAATGTATTAGCTGAAGTGGAAATAACCAGCTACATTCCACTCAGTTACATGTATCTTTCCATGTCTGACCTTTTACAGTAGTTGGATTTTAATTGTGAGTGGATGTAGACTTTCATAGATTATAAAACCGGGAGGGACCATTGAGATAATCTAGTCTGACTTCTTATATAAGACAGGCCATAGGGTTTCCTTGAATTAATTCTTGTTTGAACTAGAGCATTTTTAGAAGAACGTTCAATTTTGAACAAAAAATTTCTACTGAGAGAATCTACCATGGTAAATTGTTCTCTTGGTGAATCACCCTCACTGTCAAAAATGTGCACCTTATTTTTTAGTTTGAATTTGTCTAGCACAATTCCAACCACTGGATCTTGTTAAACTCTTGTCTGCTAGATTGACGAGCCCTCTATTACCAAATTTCTGTTCCCCATCTACGATTTATGGACTGTGATCAAGTCACCCCTTAAACATTTCTTTGTTAAGCTAAACAAGTTGAGCACCTTAACTAGAAGGCAGGTTTTCCAATCTTTTAATCATTCTTGTGGCTTTCTGGACCCTCTCCAAATTTATCAACATCCATCTTGAATTGTTGACACAAGAACTAGACAGTATTCCAGTAGCAATCTCACCAGTGCCAAATACAGAGGTCTCTACTGGATATTCCTTTATTAGAAACACACCCACTCAGTGATGATTCTCCATTTAGTTAAATTTTGGGATCTATCAACTAGCCAGTTTTTAATCTGTTTAATATGTGCCATGTTGATTTTGTATCATTTTGGTTTCTTAATGAAACTATCACGTGGTACCTACCAAGTCAAATGCTTTACAGAAGTCTAAGTATGTCACATCAACATTGTTACCTGTATCAGCCAAATTTTTATTTCGTAATTTTTATTTCCATTTTTTGCCAGGGATAGATGTTAGGCTGACAGGCATATAATTACCTGGGTAATCATGTGTACCTTTTAAAAAATATTGGCACAAAATTAGCTTTCTTCCAGTCCTCTGGACCTTACCCAAGTGATCCAAGACTTCTTTAAAATCAATAAGGCTCCTCAGCCAGCTTTTTAAAAACTATTGGGTGCAAATTATCTGGATCTGCTGATATAAATGGCTAGCTTTAGTAGCTGCTGCTTAACATCTTTCTGAGTTACTGTTGTAATGGAAAATATTTCGTCATTATATTATATGTCTTTTTCCCAAATACAGAACAGAGGTATTGATTGAACACTTCTGACTTCTTTGCATTATTATTGAGAATTCTATTTCCATCTAGTAATGGACCAATACTATTGTTAGGATTTCTTTTGTTCCTAATATACTGAAAAAAACTCCTTATTGTCCTTAACTTGGCAGCCATACATTTCTCATATTGTTTCCCTTTGCACTTTTTTTTGGTTACAATTCCTAGCTTTACATTCATTACTATCAATTTCCCCTTTCTTCCATTTTTAAAAACATTCTTATAGATGTTTTCACTTTGCCTATAAGCCAGATTGTTTTCTATCCGGTGTGGCCTTCTTTTTCGATTGTGGGATTGTGACTTTTTGAGCATCTAATAAAATGTATTGAAACAGTTCCCAATTCTCATTCACTTTTTTCCGGTTTACATTCTTTCTCCACAACTGATCTGACTCAATTTTTTTCTTGTCTTTGTGAAATTGTCCCCCAGCCTATGTTACCCGCCACCCATGAGAGACAGGACATTTGTCATAGAAAAGCCCTGGGACAAGCCAACTCAGGAAGGAGCTCAGGTCAAGGTTTTTGTATTTGTTAAGTACAGTCCTGACTCAAGGCTTTGTTAGTTCAGCTAAGAATAAAGGCAAAGCCTGGGAAGGGGATACATTTTGTACATTACCTCTTTGTGCACATGTGTGTGAAACAGTGCAGGGTCTTCCCTGATTCATTTAAACTAAGAAAAGTACAGTGCTTATTAATACTACTCTGCCCTAGAGACCAGGACATTTCCTCCTAGCCAGCAGATCAGTGGCAACAAGTTTGACCAGGAATCTCTGATATCATTGGAGATGAGGATCTTTGCCTGATTTATCTATGTGTGTGGATGGATTTGAATCTTTAACATTGTAATCTACAGTGTTGCCAACTTGTGTTATTTTTACCAAGAGTTGGTGTTTTCTTAAAAGCCCAGCTTGTGGAATCATGTTGTTCTGTGGCAGATAATACATTTCTAGACCTCAGGCTAAGAGGTTGCAGAGAAGAGCTGAAAAAACGTGACCTGACTGTATCCTAAAGACTCAAAACCCAGAAGATAGAAAAAATGGACCCCAAATTTATTAATTCTTTTAAAATCTCATGATTTTTTCATGCCTTTAAATGTTTTGAGGTCTGATATATGATTATTTTTTTTGAATGTTTGGGATTGGCAATACAGAATCTGTCATGAAGGTGTTTTATCGGCCTTGCCAGCAAAAGGGGCAAAACCGTTTGGTGGTACTCTTCGTTTCTCTGGTTTTCCATTCAAGATGCTCACATCATTCTACAAGTTAAATAAAGTTAAACATTTTTTCTTAAGTCAAGTTTTTCCCCTCTTTGAGTAGGCATTTGAAAAGAATGGTATTTCCACAAACATTACTTACTGTGCACCTGATCCTCCCATGTATACCATATAAACTAGAGGGTAGCTGAATGGAAGTGTGCTAAGAGTTACATGAAGTCTAAATAAGGAGAAACAGATCTTCCCCTTGCTCTCTGGTCTGCTGAAGAGAAAGAGGGTTTAAGGAGACTCTTCTCCACTGGTGAAAGTAGTAGGGTGGACTTCTGCCTAACATTGGGTTGATTTTTAGAGAGGTGAGACATCTAGCTAAGTAGAAATGGCCAGGTCTGAGAGCTAGGGTGTGTATCCAGTCCGGCCTGAGTAACCTGGTGTGCCTACCACGGTCGGGTGCAAATGCTAGCCAAGAATGCAAACAGCTCCTGTTGAAGTAGCAACAAAGTGCATTATGCAGCACATCTTACCTGCAAGTCTCTACAGAATTCCTGCAACATTCCTGCTCCCCACACAGTAACAGCTGGGGCAAGATTTGGCCCTATATGTGCATCAGAAATAGAAATGCATCCCTTTGTTAATTAACTAGTAAAAGTACAACTGTGAAAACAATGCATTGAAAGCTACTGCAATAGCAAGAGGGAAAGGGTTGCACCATTATTTTTACAATATTCCCTCCCCATACCCCCTACACAGACACTTGCTAGTAAACTGCTGCTGTTTATCTT